CTTGAGACTTCTTAGATGTCTTTATGTCTAAAAAACATGTGAGCCCCAGACCAAGGACTACTGTCCAAAGTACTATTTAGCTGAACCCACCCAAATATCCAAGCTTTAATTTGTCTTAAAGAATAGATAAATATCTGTTTAAGCTCCATAAGGAAATACGTGTAGATTCACTTTACTCACAGTTCCACAGAAAATTCTGTATGTACATATATATGAAATAGGTTGAAGGGGGGCTATTTTTTTAAGTACCATAAATTTGTCTATATTTTTGCAGAGAACAGTAGTATATTCTTTATGGTTTGCTATTATGGTCGTTTATGGTCATTATTACCTTTAATTTTTAACTGTGGTTAATCACTAAAGGGATTGGGTTCACAGGTGTAGGTCAAAAATTGAGAATTAAAGAATTAATCCTTTGGGGGACATTTTAAGGAAAAAAAAATAACTAGTGACCACAAAATCTTTAAGTATGAAAACACAGTTAGGATTTCTAACAGTGGACTAAATAGAGACCCTGGAATAGTTGCAAGTTTTCTTAATTTGATTGCTTTTTTGCTATTTATATTTGATTCTCCCCACCCCTGTAACCTCATTAAGAAATAGAGTGATGTGTGGATCAGAAAAAGAGAGAAAAAAATGTATTTCCATGATTTGAGGAGGTATTAGGAAGAGTGTCTTGATGAAAACACCGTTCAAAAGCCTGCCACATAATCCTGAAATCTACCATTAGAGACTTATTACTTTGTAAGCACTAGTTCTCTGGGAGGGAGAGATACTCAGCTGCTGCCGGCTGAGAACACAGCAACAAGGCTACTGCAGGGTGTACTGCAAAGCACAGGCTACCCAGCCAAATGGAGGTACGGTTGAATTTGGCACTTACTAGCCATGGGATCCTGGGCAAATTACTTTTCTCTGAGTCCCCATTTATTCATCTTTAAAATGGGTTTAATAATGGCTATCACATGAGAAGTACAATTTAAATGAGTGCATGCTCTCTCTCCATATATATGTATTGAGGAACTTAATACAATAGGTTCCCAGTACATTGCAATGATAATTATTAGCAATGGTAGAAATACTTAATTCAAATTGAGATTTCCATAGCTTTAGGGGTACACGAAGACACCCCAAGAGCTATGCAGACTCAGGATCAATTTCTGAATTCTCACTCTCTATGTATTTCTATATTTATTTGCTCAAAAGTGCACCTGAATCAAGCTGCTTCTCCTTATCCGCCTTTTCTTTTAGAGCTCCTTTTCTTCTGTCCTGCAAAAAAGTGACAAATGGGCCGGGCGCGGTGGCTCAAGCCTGTAATCCCAGCACTTTGGGAGGCCGAGGCGGGTGGATCACGAGGTCGAAAGATCGAGACCATCCTGGTCAACATGGTGAAACCCCGTCTCTACTAAAAATACAATAAAACTAGCTGGGCATGGTGGCGCGTGCCTGTAATCCCGGATACTTAGGAGGCTGAGGCAGGAGAATTGCCTGAGACCAGGAGGCGGAGGTTGCGGTGAGCCGAGATCGTGCCATTGCACTCCAGCCTGGGTAACAAGAGCGAAACTCCGTCTCAAAAAAAAAAAAAAAAAAAAAGTGACAAATGTTTCATCCAGTTCAAATTATAGTGTGGTACCTTGATTGCCCTGGGTATAGAAACCTCTGGGACACCAAGCAGAGGAAAGTCAAACTATGGGTATTTGAGAGAGAGAGAGAGAGAGAGAGAGAGAGAGAGAGAGAAACAGAGGCGGGGGGCGGGGGAAAGGAAATATTCTCAAAGGAAATACTCTCTGTCAAAGGAAATACTATGAGTATTTTCCTTTAATCAAACCGGTATAAACCAAAGGTGCAGGGCATCGTCTCTTTCCCTGTCATATGCTTATCTCTCTTAGGGACAAAGCATACCTTAAGCAGGTATGCTCACCTGTGTCGGGGTGTTTGGACTTCAGGAGTATCATGGAATTAGGCAGAAATGATGGCATTTTCTACCCATCTTCACTACTGACAAAGAAGACATTGTTCCTGAGGGAAGAGATGCTTGAGAATAAAGCAGGCTGAGTGCGGTGGCTAATGCCTGTAATCCCAGCACTATGGGAGGCCAAGGCAGGTGCATCACTTGAGGTCAGGAGTTCGAGATCAGCCTGGCCAACATGGCGAAACCCCATCTCTACTAAAAATACAAAAATTACCTGGGCATGGTGGTGGGCACCAGTAATCCCAGCTACTTGGGAGGCTGAAGTAGGAGAATCGCTTGAACCCGAGAGGTGGAGGTGGAGGTTTCAGTGAGCTGAGATTGCGCCATTGTACTCCAGCCTGGAGTACAATTAAAAAAAAAAAAAAAAAGACAATAAAACAAAGAGAACATCTCATAGAAATATTGAAGATGGCATTAAGTTATTCATCCAGATGGCAAACTCATGAGATGTCTCTTTCTATCTTGAAATATTCAAGATTTGTAAGAAGTTGTACTGGGAAACGCCAATGAACTACGAACCACACTTTCTCTGGAATTTCACCATCTCAATAATGAAAACAAGTTCAGTGAATACTCTCATTTATCTGCATTTTTCTCTATGTCTCAGTAGTTTAATTTGCATAATTTCAAGGTGAAAAGACCTACAATTTCTTCCAACAAATCAATGCTATATTTTGTAATAAAGGAAACATATATTAGAGGTAAGTTAGTGTTTTATATTTTATTAAATTTTTACTCAGATTCATAGGAGAAACACTTCCATTAATTTTTGCTAAAAGTTAGCAAAATATGAAATCTATATTTTTTATGAAGGTACAAGTCTGCTCACTATCATTCATGAACCACTTTTCTGTTCATGTATTAATTCCTGCCACGTAGTTATGAGGTATACAAGTCAGCTTATGTTACCATAACAAAATATCATGCAGCAGGTGGCTTAAACAACAGACGTTTATTTTCTCATAACTCTGGAGGCTTGAAATCCAAGATTAGGGTGTCGGCATGGTCAAGTTCTGGTGTGGGCTCTCTTCCTGGCTGGCAGATGGCTGCCTTCTTGTTATATTCTTACATGTGGGGCTAGGGAAAGAGAGAGACAGAGAGAGACAGAGAGAGAGTGCATGGGCGAGAGCGTCTGGTGTCTTGTCCTCTTCTTTAAAGGGCACCAGTCCTATTGAAGTAGGACCCCGACCTGTGACCTCATTTAACCTTTATCACCTCATCACAGGCACTATCTCCAAATATAGTCATATTGAGGGTTAAGCCTTTGAAATATAAATTTTGGGGGAACAAAGCTCAGTCCACAGAATGTGTTAAGTAGTTTAACAGGAATATGTTGCAGGTTATACTCTAACTAATGTGCTTAACAGTCCTTAATGTGCTTTCCGTAATCTTGTTCTGTACTAATTGCTGACTAAGTTCTTTCTCTTGCTGTCAAATTGCATAAAGTATTTAAACTATACTGTCAAAAGCAGAAATCTATTGGTTCAAAAGCAAATAAATTTTTTTTCCAAAATGTAAATCTAATACGCAATGGTCTGAACTTTAGCAAACTGACTTGATTTAATTAGGATTAATTTATGCCTTTCAGATGTTAATATGCTGATTTCACTTCTTTTAAGTGTATTGTCTTCAGTCATATTTGGGAAGAAATTATTAATATATACATGAATATCCCCAAGTGTCTGTCCTTCTGTCGTTTCTTTACTCTGCATTTTCAGACATCCTTAAAAAAATAAAATTTGGCATTATATATAGGTCTCTGTTCACAGTCAAGGAGAAAAATCCCCAAATGCAAAATTTACAAGTTTATGTTTTTGTTTCTAATTCTGGTTTCATCTATTTTAGCTCCATAAGCAAGACACCTGTAAGTAAAAGGGTGACAGTATAATCAACAGCCATGTGATAAGTCTTGGCCAAGATTTTTGGGGTCATACTTCTTAGAAGCTTAAAAACTGAACTCTAGGCCGGGTGCGGTGGCTCAAGCCTGTAATCCCAGCACTTTGGGAGGCCGAGGCGGGTGGATCACGAGGTCAAGAGATCGAGACCATCCTGGTCAACATGGTGAAACCCCGTCTCTACTAAAAATACAAAAAATTAGCTGGGCATGGTGGTGCGTGCCTATAATCCCAGCTACTCAGGAGGCTGAGGCAGGAGAATTGCCTGAACCCAGGAGGCGGAGGTTGCGGTGAGCCGAGATCACGCCATTGCACTCCAGCCTGGGTAACAAGAGCGAAACTCCGTCTCAAAAAAAAAAAAAAAACAAAAAACAAAAAACAAAAAACTGAACTCTAATGATTAGGTAACACATTTCTTCTTCTTCTTCCTCCTCCTCTTCTTCTTCTTCTTCTGCTTCCTATTCCTCTTCTTTCTTCTTCTTCTTCCTCTTCTTCTTCTTTCCTCTTTCCTCCTCCTCCTCCTCTTCTTCCTCTCCTCCTCCTCCTCCCTCTTCTTGTTCTTCTTTTTGTAAGTTAGGTAGTTTTCAATTCTTAGCTTTCAATAAAATTAAAGGAGGACCTAACAGAGTTGTCAACAAATAAGTCAGTAGTTTTTGATAATAGATCACTATGTACTTTTTAAACTTATAATCAAGAAGGCATTCAAATAACAGTGTGACATTTTCTTCAGAAAATGCTAACATTCTCATTACTTATTTAATTGAACACGTTTTCTCAGAGCTCATGTTTAAAAAAAATAAAAAATAAGGATAGAATTGATGCTGACTTCTGTCTCATTTTAATAGTGAGGAAGAGCCACAGATACATGAACTAATTTTAAAAGAGCCATTGATTTAGTTTAATTTTTCAATTAACACTTAACTTGCTGTGTTTTATATTTATCAAAATATGCTATATATTTATGTTGCTTTGATTAGTTGTGTGCTAAAAATCATTGTAAAGATAATCCAGAAAACTTCAAAATTTTAAAAAGGAATGATACAGATTTTTTGGTTGTCAAAAAAGAGCTTGTTGGTGAAGTTTTAAGACTGAGAGTGGGACAGTAAGTGTCAAAATGCTTTGGTATTTAGAGTCTGTTGGATACAAAGTGTGATATATTTTATTTAAAAATCAATATTTACAGTATGCTAGAAAGAACATATTTTGAAGTTATTCAAATTTATGATGAAAAATCTTAGGTGTCTACTTGAAAATGTGCAGAGCAATACATAGATTTTCAAAGTTCCTTTAGTAAGTATGAGAGAAATTAGTTTGAAGATCACTTATTTAGGGGATCAAATCTTTATAGTTTTAATAGTTGATGGTGACAGACTCATGGAGAAAAGTGGATAAAAAGAAAAGCATACATGGGTGTGTTGTTAATATGGGCTCTTGTGACAGAAAAGTAGACCTGGTGAAAAAAAAAACACACATAATTACCAAGTTTTTAATTTTTTTGGCCAGCACCTTTGAGATATAGCACATCCATTGCTTATGAACTTTGCAAAGTAGGTTTATAAAGTGGTTTTTTTTTTTTTTGGATGGGTCTAATTATGTTGGAGACCAGTAATCCACCGTTATAACTGGATTACCACGTGCCTCACACTGTGCTAATTATTAGAGATACAGAGATGAACAAGGAGAGAAGATCCCTCAAGGATTCGACGGGATAGAAGAAAAGGGAAGTCAAACTAGACTGAGTTGGAAGTTAATGATGATGCACTTTAAGTATTTTTCATTTGTATCCCATATTTGATTACACAAAAAGCTTGAGATTGGGTAAAAATCTCCCTCACCCATGCAGGCGGGCATCATCAAACCTGTTGAGGAATGGAGCAGGATGGAACAAAATGGTGGAAGGAAGACAAATTTGCTCTCTCCTTTTTGAGCTGGGACATCTCTCTTTTCCTGCTCTTAGTTCTTGGGCCTTTGGACTTGGACTGAATTGTACCACCAGCTTTCCTAAGTCTCCAGCTTGCAGACAGCAGATTGAGGGACTTCTCAGCCTCCATAATTGTGGGAGTCGATTCCATGTTTTTCTATCTCTAACTGTACCTCCTACTGATTCTGTTTCTCTGGAGAACCCTGACTCCAAATGGTTTATGGTATGAGGTTCCCTGAATCCTTGGGGTTTGGATCTTGATGTTTAAAGTTAATGCTCTAAAATTTAAAAGAAAAAAAAAAAAAAGGATCCTCTTTTTTTTCCTGTCAAAATTCTTGCCAGTTACAATGGACAGCCGTATCCCCAATGCCACCTGAATGTGCCCAATTTCATCTGATTTCGGAAACTAAACCCAAATAGGATTGGGCCTAGTTATCTAGGTGGGAGAAAGCCAGACCCCTGTAGACCATGGTTTCTGCTGTCCATTTACCAAGCTCTCCTCTGTAGTTCATGATCCATGGCTTTTGTTCTGCCTGGATGGCCCTACCCTGATAACCCAGAAAGTGTCTGCTGACTGCTGAATGGTGGGTGAGAAAAAAGGGCAACAGGAATTAGAACGCACATGGTTTAATAATTTTTTAAAATTCCCAGCCTTAATTAGGAAATGATGCATGTTTCTGGAATTTTCATTAAAAGCTCATGGTGTTTCCAGGAAGCTGGCTAACTACGCCTGATATAAAAAAGAAAACTGCAACCTACTCAATTACGTTGTAACTTGCCAGGAATTAAGTAATGGTGTTCTTGGAATTGGAGAGTAGGATGTGATCAGTGTTTATCTGACTACTGTACTGAAGAGTCTGGGCTTAGCTTCCTGAAGAAAGATGGTAAAGTCTCTAGAAAGGAGAGCAGCCCATCCGAGGGCCCAGCTTTTGGGGGCATAGAGTTGATGGACTTCATGGGAAAGGCAGGACCCTTCACTTCAACTGCTAGCTGTTTGATAGCAATTCTCAAGCTTTAGTATGAATGCAAGTCATTTAGGAAGATTGTTTAAAAATGTGGATTCCTAGAAACTCCATACAGATCATCTGATTCATAGGTCTGAGTTGGGGCCTAGGAATTTACATTTTTACAGACTTCTTCTGCATCATGTCTTGAGACTATTACACTCCTATTTGGAGAGCCTATGATAAATCTTTAATGATCATTAATAATACCACCCTTAGATCCAGGCCAGAGGGGCTCCTGCCCTGGGGTCTGTGGTTTAGAGGGCCCTGCTCTGACCCTCCCCTGGCCATGATGGTCCCCTGGGATGAGGAGTCTGGAGGGATCAAAGGGATATGCCAAACTTGAGAATGTGAGCAGACTTCTAGACTGTGATCTGGAGAGAGAGCAAGAGAGAGAGAGATTGATTTTGAAGAATTGGCTCCTGTAATTATAGAGGCTGAGAAATCCCACAATCTGCTATGTGCAAGCTGGAGTCCAGGAAAGCCAATGGTGTAGTTCAGTCCAAGTCAAAATGCCTGAGAACCGGGGAAGCCAATGGTGTGAATCTCAGTCGAGGGCCAGAGAAGATGTGATGAGATGTCTCTGCACGAGCAAGCAGGCAGCAAGCAAGTAAGGGCGAATTCCTCCTTCCTTTGCCTTTTGTTCTCTTCAGGCCCTTGGTAGAGTAGATGGTGCCCACTCAAACTGGGGCAGACACCAGCTTTACCGATCCACAGATTCAAATGCCAATCTTCTCTGGAAACACCCTCCCAGACACACTCAGAAATCAAGTCTAATCCAAGCACCTGCGTCCAGTCAAGTTGCCACGTACAATTAACCATCACAGGCTCTGAACTGGCTCCTGGCTGTGCATGGCTTCTTCCCTGGTCTGACCTCCTGAGGGCACACCCTGCTGGGCGTGTCCTTATGCCTGAGTAGTGGCCAAGGGGCAGCTGTTTGTAGGGGTGTGGATGGAGTTGACTTGTGAGCTGCAGTGTGCACTAGTGGCCCCAGGAAGCCCCTCATTAACGGAGGGCTGGCTGTGGGAAAAGAAGGAGCGTGGGCTATTGGCCAGGAGTTGGCACTCCCTGTACCACTGCAGTCCTACCTTGGGTTTCTGGGTTGTTTGAGGGTTTATTTATCAAGTAAGAGAATAGGACCTTTTGTTCAGCAGTTTGTTGGCTTTGATTTGTAACTTCTAAATAACTAGATGTGTGGTTTGGGGATCTTTGTCTTTACTCTTGCTTTGGGCCCCACAGATGTTAGAGGCATACCAGACCAACATTTCCAGACTACTAACATCTTAGACTTGATTTCTTCTGAACAAGAATTGCCCTTCAAGCCAGGCTGCAGGAAGGAAAAAGTGGACAAAAGGTAAAGAAAATATGACCTCCAGGGTGGCAGGGCCTAGTGAGGGAAAGCCCAGCTTGTGTGGCAAGGCAAACCTTAGCATGTCTTTTGCAAGCCCTGTCTGCATCTCAGGTGAAAAGTGAGAGAAACATAATTCTGTTTTTGCAGAACGGACAGATTTGAGTTATCTTGGGCGACCCAAAATCCAGGTTTTTCTAATTTCATTCTCTCCAGGACCCTAGCCTCCCCAGCATGAGTCAAGTTGTCCTAATTTTTCTTAGAATGAGATAATAGTCTGAAAATGTGAACACTTTTCTGGCTACCTTTAACATATTTTCAAAAACAGTTACACATAAAAGAGACTTGTTCAATTATTTTATAAGGGGATTAACAAAGGAAACTTTTAAAAATATATTTCACACACACTGGAATGTGTAAAAAGTAGTGACATGACAGTCACTACTTCAGGCCGTATTCCACATCCTTCAATAAAAATATTCCTTAAAACACCCAATTACTTTCCTCCCATTAGATCTGCTATGTATAGTTGTCCAAGTTGTTGACTGTGTGAGAATACTTATCCCAAGAAATAAATGGGATCTAAAATCCAGCCTACCGTTTCCTTGTCAAGCTGAGTGCTCTGACATGGCCTGCATCCACCAGGAGGAAGGATGCTTTTTTCTAATCACAAAAGTGACAGTCTGCTTGTCAAACGATACACCTTGCTCATGATAGGTACATATTTGCTGATAGGTGCAGAGCTGAGGATGCTGAAATGATGCCATGTGTTTTGGAATAGTGAAAACTTTCTAGGGAGATGGTCATCTGGGAATTTGATTACTTGCCCTCTTTGCACCCCTGACTGCAGTGAAGAGAAAGAATGCCTTTCTGGCAAAAAAAAAAATTACTGGCTAAAAACCAAACCAAACCAAACAAAAGCCAAGAAACCCTACAACAACACAGCTGCTGTGATTTCTGTGAGTCCCAGAGAAAAGAGGAGTTCACTGCTGCTTCAGCCTGTAAATGCCAGGGCCTGGGACAGAATGAACTAGAGTCAGAAAATAGTTAACGAGGTGAGTGCAGCTGGAGATGGAACATGTATTGCTTTTGATCTACTAACTTGGAGTCAAGGAAGTCATTAGTGCAATGTGGATCAGCATTGGTCATGGACTAGGGGAGGACATCTCCTACCCTTGCCCAACCCTGGACCCCCTCTCGGGTCCTGCTGCAAGTCACAGTCCATCATTAGCAAAACCCAATAGTGTCAGCCTTGGCTCCGACTCTTCCGGCGCCATCTCATTCTGATGAAAACCTGGCTGTCCCCTGGGAATACTGCCTTCCGGTTCTGCCGGTATTCCCCTGGTCCCATGGTGGCTATGGTTTGCTCCTCCAAGTTGTGCCATGGGGCCTGGAAGTGGGGTACGGTTTCTTTTTCACTTCCCATTACCACTTCTACATCATTCTCTCTCTCCTCCCTCAAAGCGTTCTGCACTGAATCTCAGGTCATCATGTTATGTCACCTGACTTCTCATTTTGCTGACATCTGTTATGCTGAGGTCATTCCCCCTGGTTCCTCGTGTTCCTGCCTCACCATTGCATTCCTCTTCCTGCCTTAACTCTGGGCAAGTTCAACGTATACATAGATTGTCCCTCCATTCTCCTGGTCTCTCAGTTCCCTGCTGACCTCTCCTCTCACAATCTGGTCCTCCCACTTTAATTCCCATCATTCTGGACCCTGTCATTTCCTGCAGCTGCATGGCCTCCATAGCTGCAAGGCATGCCTGTGGCTCTAGGACCCCTGCTTCCTCTCTTCCTAGCACACTCCCTCAGTCACCCTGTCTGCTAGGGCTGTCAAAGCAAAGTCCCACAAATTAGGTGGCTTAAAGAATAGAAATGTATTCTCACATGGTTCTGGAGGCTGGAAGTCTGAGATCAAGGTGTTGATGGAGTTCGTACCATGTAGGGGGCTGTCTCAGGATGCTGTCCTGGACTCTGGTGACTTGCTGGCAATCCTTGGGTTGTGGACTCATCACTCCAACTTCTGTCTTTGTGTTCACATGTGTACCTGTCTGTATTCAGATTTCCTATTTTTGTAAGGACACCAGTCATTCTGGATTAGGGCTTCCTCTCATCTTAACTAATTAGGATATATCAGCAATCACCCTATTTCCTAGTAAGGTAACATTTTGAGGTACCAGAGGTTAGGACTTCAACATTTAAATTTTTGTGGGGATGAGGCATACAGTTTAACCCCTAACATGCTCCATCTCCAGCAATCCTTCCACTGTCATCTTAAATTCAGGAACATAAACCTTTAATGCTGCTTGGCAGACATACTCTCTGATATGGTTTGACTGTGTCCCCGCCCAAATCTCATTTTGAATTGTAGCTCCCATAATCCCCATGTGTTGTGGGAGGGACCTGGTGGGAGGTAATTGAATCATGGGGACAGGTTTTTCCTGTGCTGTTTTTGTGATAGTGAATAAGTCTCATGATATCTGATGGTTTTTTATAAAGGGCAGTTTCCCTGAACACACTCTCTTGCCTTCCGCCATGTAAGATGTGCCTTTGTTCCTCCTTTGCCTTCTGTTGTGATTATGAGGCCTCCCCAGTCATGTGGAACTGTGAGTCCATTCAGCCTCTTTTTCTTTATAAATTACCCAGTCTCAGATATTTCTTCATAGCAGTGTGAGAATGAACTAATACACTCCTCTATGTCATCAGTTTTTCCTCTCTTATACTCATCATTACTAACATCATATAAAGATGCTCTTCTTTCTTTCGTATTAATTATATTAAAAACTTTCTTGACCCCACATCCACCAGTAGCTCTCCCTCTGGCTCTACTATCTCTGCTGCTCTTCACTGTACTATTCTGGGGCTGTCTATACTGACTGCCTTCAATTCTTCTCCCGTTCCCTTCAGTCCCTTCCAATCAAGCTTTTGCCCCCCACTACCCCTTTGAAAGTTCTAATGTCAAGGTTAACATAGTTTATAGTGTTAGCAAATGTCTTCTTTTTTATCATGGTTATCCTGTATGAAAAACTGAACTTACTCCCATTTATTGCATGTGTTAAGTGATGAGGTTTGTCCAAAGCTCAGGAAAACAACAAGAAGAAGGAGAAATAATGAACAATATATAGATTGGCAGAAAAAATACAGAAGGAAAAAATTGTTTAGAAGAAAGTAACCCCTTTATAGTATTGGCCACTCGATAGAGATTCAATTTCTAGCATTTACATTCACACATTCTAACCAATTCCTTTGCCCACTTGGAGCACATGGATGTATTTATATCAACCACTATGTGTCCTTCCAGGTTCTCCCTGTATGGCTGTCTTGATCTCTGGCAATTTGGAATCCCAAGCCCTTTCTGGGATTGTTACCTAGCCCCCAGGGCAGCCCTCTCTAGGGATCCAGGGTGGAGGAGGGAGGAAGAAGAGGTGGTGGTGGTAAAGGGGGTGGGAGCAGGAGGATTTAGTGGAACAAAGGATGAGAGAAAAGAAGAAAGAAGAAAAAGCCGCAGACCCAGGCAACACATGCTATAGTCATAAAAACTGTTTTCTGTACTGTCTGTTGCAATTAAAATTTAAAAACATGCTTACACCTTTTTTTTTTTTTTTTTTTTTTTTTTAATAACCAAACTCCTTCAAAGGAGGTAGATTGTATAGTTTCTGGCATGCTACAGGGAAGAAAAAGTCCATCTCAATACTTTATAGGCATGCTTCGAATTCAGAACTTTACAATTCTTCAGAAACAACTAATGAAAACAGGAGTGCTGTTGGGATGACTGTGAGTCACTTCCCCATCCTATGATTCACTGTCACAAATGCTGGACATGTGGTCAGGGGAGAAGGACTTTTGATTTTGAGGATTCATGAACTGATTCAGTATACCATCTTTATGTTTTGATACTATCTATTCGAGTCTAAGCTTTGAGGTGTTTTGGCTCTATAAAGCAGCTTCAAGGTAAGGGATCAAAGGATGGAAAAAGCCAGGATGAGTGAGAGTTTGTTAGCTAAAAGCATCCAGTTCTTGCATAATGTCAGAAAGCAAGGTTAGACAGCTACTGATAGCATGGATGCTGAAGAAAGCAGAAATATTTTCAAATCCAGATAACTCCAGTTGCTTGCTTTCCTATGACTACTCTTAACAAATATTTACAGTGGCTTAAGAATGACAGCAAAATAAATATCCTTGGGCTCCCCACTGGTTTAAATCCTCCACAAAAAACCTTGTCACTGATATTTGTTAAAATTCATCTAAAGAAACACTGATGAATGCTATATGTTTAGAAAACATTATATAAAATATACAAATAAATAAACCATACAGTAATTGGTCCCTTAAATTATTTTAAGGAGGTAAAATTTTCTAACATCTTAATTTCTACCTGTCAGAGACATTTGAACCAGAGCAATTCCATCTTAATTAGGGGGCGGGTAAAAAAAGGCTGAGCCTTACTGGGCTGGATTCCCAGGTTAAGGCATTCCTAGAGACAGGATGAGATAGGAGGTCGGCACAAGATACCAGTCACAAAGACCTTGCCGATGAAATAGCATGTGTAAAGAAGCTGTCCAAAACCTACCAAAACCAGGATGGTGATGAAAGTGACCTCTGGTTGTCGCACTGCCAATTATATGCTAATCATATAATGCATTAGCATGCTAAAGACACTCCCACCAGTGCCATACAGTTTACAGATACCATGGCAACATCAGGAAGTTACCCTATATGGTCTAAAAAGGCAGGGGGAAGCCTCAGTTCCAGGAATTGCCCACCCTTTTCCTGGAGAGTCATGAATAGTCAACCCCTTGTTTAGCATATAATCAAGAAGTTACAGTAAGAAAATCAGTCGAGGCCGGGCGCGGTGGCTCAAGCCTGTAATCCCAGCACTTTGGGAGGCCGAGGCGGGTGGATCACGAGGTCGAGAGATCGAGACCATCCTGGTCAACAAGGTGAAACCCCGTCTCTACTAAAAATACAAAAAATTAGCCTGGCATGGTGGCGCATGCCTGTAATCCCAGCTACTCAGGAGGCTGAGGTAGGAGAATTGCCTGAACCCAGGAGGCGGAGGTTGCGGTGAGCCGAGATCGTGCCATTGCACTCCAGCCTGGGTAACAAGAGCGAAACTCCGTCTCAAAAAAAAAAGAAAAGAAAAGAAAAGAAAATCAGTCGAGCAACCCACACTGCTGTTCTGCCTATGGAGTAGCCATTCTTGATTCCTTTACTTTCCTGATAAACTTGCTTTCACTTTACTGTATGGACTTGCCCCAAATTCTTTCTTGCATGAGGTCCAAGAACCCTCTCTTGGAGTCTAAATTGGGACCCCTTTCAAATAAAAACATTTAACTTTGCTACTAGGTAATGACATTCTGGAAGTTTTCTTTGGAATAATGCCCTAGTTTGAGCCCCCAGTTTGATAGTACAAGTTGAGTATCCTTAATCAAAAACATCGGAAACCTGAAATGCTCCAAAATTTGGAATTTTTGAGTGCCAACATGGTACTCAAAGAAAATGCTCATTGGAGCATTTCAGGTTTTGGATTTTTTATTTAGGGATGTTCAACCAGTAAGTATAATGCAAACAGTCCAAAACTGGAAAAAAATCAAAATTGGCACTTCTAATCCCATGCATTTCAGATAAGGCATACTTACCTTGTAAAACTTGAACATTCTTGTTAGTAGAGTGTTTGATGTAATGAATGAGATGAATGTAACTTTTTTTGGTTTGTTTTTCTGTTTTAAGAAACTAAATGTTCAGAAATTATTAGCATACACTCAATTACACAGGTGTTAAATACTAATTGGATTGCAACTCTGATTTTATTTTCATCTAGATTATTTTGATTTACCTATGACATTATTTCATATCATTACTCACAAGAAGCCTACCTTTTTGCTCGGTAGTGAGTGCAAAGCAGCTGAAAGAAATGGAGATATCTGAGAAACTACCAGCTGGTAACCAATATATACACTTGAGACACATCTATGTATTTTTCAGATTGGAACTGTGAGTGACTATAGGTGCCAAAATAGGAAATTTGGTGTTAAATCCCTCATAAGTATCTTGTGTGATAGCATATTTTAGGATTGCTGAATTCATGGGGAGAAAAAGCATACTGCTAAACCAAAATGCATGAGTACAGTTAAAAAGTTAAAAAGTTATATTCCTGTTTTTGAAATTTTACCCCAAATTTTGACAACAACAACAAAACTGCTTGGTTAAGTTTATTAGATTAAAAATATTTCTAAAATCAGGCTAAATATGCATGCAAAGTTCCTTCTGATATGATCTGGCTGAAAAACAGTAAAAATCAATAGATTATAAACGAAATCATGCCTTGAGCTGTGAAAGAGGAAAGGATCATCACAAGTAAACTGATAGGCACGAGGTCTCAATAGGCAATGACTTTCATATGTTAAAAGATGGAAGAAACATTATAGGTAATTGGAGTTTAAGCCCTTCACAAACATTAGAAACCAAGAGATTGAGGTGCAAAGGGATTGCTTGACTTGCCCAAGGTCCCATGACTTGCTGGTGGCAGAGCCAGGCTGGAATTTTACCCTGGATTCCAGGAAAGAACAACTTTATTATACCATGCCAGGGCAGCATCAAAATTCCAGGACTGCTTTTGAAAGTGTTAGGCTTAACCATGGTTCTTAATTACTAGCTGGTAGGGAATTTGCACAGAACCATATAGATGTAGATCACAATCACATAATTAAATGTTTCGCAAGTGGTGAATTACATATATATGTACATATATACATATATGTGTGTATACATATGAATGAGAGAATTAAATTTTCTTTAAAAATATATTTAATTATTAAAAAAAAAGCCTTGAGTTCATCTATTGAGATGATCAGTGCTGGGAAAACAGTGATGTCATAAAAAGATGACCAGATGTCTGTAGGAACTGACCTCCCATCTTGCCCTGCCATGCATTAGCTGTGGAATTGCTTCATTTTCCAGTGAGTAAAACAGGGATGTTGACAATTGCTCCACCTCCAAGAAATACTCTGAGGATAAATAAAATCGAATAAGTGGAGTGTTCTGAGGGTTTCTTACCTTCCTAAAAGAATTAAAATAGAATTAGGCATTAGACCACAACTTGTTTAACTTACGGTGCTGATGACGACAAGTTTTCTCATAGTTATGAGTCAGTGATTCTCAGGAATTCCTTTTCACACCACTTAACCTTTAAAATATTTGCCTTATTTAACCTTAGATTTAAAAGTCTGAGAAATCACCTAGAAATTTCTTCTCTCAGTTTAAGTACCTCCTCTTAAAAATGCTGATAAAGAACTTATTCCTATACAAGGTGGTTTATTCCATGGCAGAAAAGGCACAACATAGAAAAATGTTCATGTTATTGAACAAAAACGTATCTCAGTGTAATTTTTTTTGTTATTCATTTCTATTATTTTTATTTTTCCATAGGTTATTGGGGTACAGGTGGTGTTTGGTTACATGAGGAAGTTCTTTAGTGGTGATTTGTGAGATTTTGGTATGCCCATCCACCAAGCAGTATACACTGCACGCTATTTGTAGTCTTGTATCCCTCACCTCCCTCCCACCCTTTCCTCCAAGTCTCCAAAGTCCACTGTGTCATTCTTATGCCTTCATTTTCTCATAGCTTAGCGCCTACATATCAGTGAGAACATACGATGTTTGGTTTTCCATTCCTGAGTTACTTAACTTAGAATAATAGCTTCCAACCTCACTTAGGTCACTGCGAATGTTGTTAATTCATTCCATTTTAGGCTGAGTAGTATTCCATCATATATATATGATGGAATTCATCATACATATATATGTTTGTGTGTGTGTGTGTATATCTATATCTATATCTGTATCTATATCTATATCTATATCTATATATCTATATATCTCACAGTTCTTTTTCAACTTGTTGACTGATTTGCATTTGGGTTGGTTCCATGATTTTGCAATTGTGAATTGTGCTGCTATAAACATGCCTGTGCAACAGTATCTTTTTCACATAATGACGTCTTTCCCTCTGGGTAGACACCCAGTAGTGGGATTGCTGGATCAAATGGCAGTTCTACTTTTAGTTCTTTGAGGAATCTCCACATTGTTCTGCATTGTGGTTGTACTAGTTGACATTCCCACCAGCAGTGTAGACGTGTCCCCTGATCACTGCATTCATGCTAACACCTACTGTTTTTTGATTTTTTTGATTATGACAATTCTTACATGAGTAAGGTGGTATCATATTGTGGTTTTGATTTGCATTTCCCTGATCATTAGTGATGTTGAGCATTTTTTCATATGCTTGTTGACAATTTGGGTATCTTCTTTTGAGAATTGTCTATTCATGTCCTTAGCCCACTTTGTGATGGGATTGTTTTTTTTCCTGTTGATTTGTTTGAATTTGTTGTAGATTCTAGATATTAGTCTTTTGTAAGATGTATACATTGTGAAGATTTTCTCCCACTCTGTGGTTGTCTGTTTACTCTGCTCACTCTTCCTTTTGCCATGCAAAAGCTCTTTAGTTAAATTAAGTCCCAGCTATTTATCTTCATTTTTATTGGATTTGCTTTTGGGTTCTTGGTCATGAAATCCTTGCCTAAGCCTATCTCAGTGTAATTTTTAACTACAGTCATAGTTTTTTTTTGTTTTGAATTATAGATTTTATCAATTCTTAAATTATTTGAATTTAACTATGAAGTTTCTCCTAAATTTTCAATGTTATAGTTGGAAAGAAGATAGCATTATTAAGTGGCTACTGCGCAATATTAAGATTTTTGTCTAGGTGTTTTCAATTGAAACTCAAAATAAGTTAATGCCAAGTAGCCTCCATTCTTGCATTGATGAGACTAGCAAAATGGCTAAAATCACAAGCTCTGGATTTAAGTCTTGGTTCTACTACTTACTAAGTGTATAAATTGCAGATGTTACTTAGCTCCTTAAGTCTTAGCTTCCTTGTTGGTGAATTTTAGAAGTAATAACTCTAATGATAAAGTGGTTGTTATGAGGTTAAAAAATATAATGCCTGGGCAAAATGATGAAATGCCATCTCTACAAAAAATAGAAAAATTAGCTAAGCATGGTGATGTGCCTGTAGTCTCAGCTATTGGGAGGCTGAGGTGGGAGGATCACTTGAGCCTGGGATGGGGAGGCTGCAGTGAGCCAAGATCGCACCATTACAGTCTAGCCTGTGCAACAAAGCAAGATGCTATCACACACACACACACACACACACACACACACACACACTATATATATATATATATAGTGTGTGTGATATATATATGTGTATATATATATAGTGTGTGTGTGTGTGATATATATATGTGTGTGTATATATATAGTGTGTGTGATATATATATATGTGTGTATATATATAGTGTGTGTGTGATATATATATGTGTGTATATATATATATAGTGTGTGTGTGTGTGTGTGTATCATGTGACTACATAATAATAACTATTCAATAAATGTAAGCTATTGGTATTATTGGTCTCTCTTTTTTTTTTTTTTTTGCCTCAGCTCAAGACCTTATGTTTATCCCAAATAACTTGTATTTTCTTTGTTTTGGGCCTGATTTCTATACGAGGAAATTGTTTTGAATTGTCTCCTGGTGTGTTAGTTCTCTCTCCCTAATGTTT